TTTGTTGAAAAAACTATTTCCCTAGACTTTGCATCGTGGTCAAAAATTTATTAACCATATATGTGTGGGTTCATTTTTGAACTCTCTAGTTTGTTCCACTGATCTATTTATCTATCATCATAGTAATACCATACTGTTCTTCTGATAACCCTGAATCCATGTTGCCACATATATCAATAGATGTTTCTTGATACATGTGGCAACATGGATTCTGAGTTTTAAAATACTAAAACCTATAAATAACTATGTATGATCCATCCAGTTTATAGTTAGTCTTGAAGTCAGAAAATATGAGGACTCCAGTTTTGTTTTTGTTTTGTTTTTAAAGATTTGTTCTGGCTGTTTCGTATCATTTGTATTTCTATCTAAATTTTAGAATCAGGAAATACCTTGGTGGTCCAGTGGTTAGGACGCTTTCGCTGTAGTGGCCCACGTTCAATCCCTGGTTGGGGAACTAAGATCCTGGGGAACCAAGCCATGTGGTTCATCCCCCAAAAAAAGTCTACGAATAATAAATGCCCGAGAGGATCTGGAGGAGTGTGGAGGAAGGGGAACCCTTCCGCACTGTTGGTGGGAATGTAAAATTGGTGCAGCCACCAAGGAGAATAGGATGGAAGATCCTTAAAACAAACTAAAAATAGAGCTGTTATATGATCCCACAGTCCCACTCCTGGGCAAATATCCAGAGAAAACTCTAATTTGAAAGGATAAATGCTGAAAATTCCCGGCAGACCAGTGGTTAGCACTCAGTGTTTTCACTGCTGGGGCCTGGACTCAAAAGAGTCCCAAAGAGTCGGACACGACTGAAGCGACTTAGCAAATGTGATTTTGATTGAGATTTCATGGCATCTATATTCTAATTTAGAGAGAATTGGTACGTTAACAACACTAAGTCTTCTAATCCATGACTGATATATCTCTCAGCTTACTTAAATCTTCTTTAATGGCTCTCAGAAAGAAAAAGTTTGAGGAAGTTCCGTCCTGTGCCTAACATGATGATTTTTGTTGATGTCGTTGTTGTTCATGAAAGTGTTGTCCAACTCTTTCTGACCCCATGGACAGTAGCCCGCCAGGCTCCTCTGTCCATGGGATTTTCCAGACAAGAATTCTGAAGTGGGTTGCTGTGCCCTTCTCCAGGGGATCTTCCCGAGCCAGGGATCGAACCCACGTCTCTTATGTCTCCTGCATTGACAGTAGGGTTCTTTACCACTGGTGCCACCTGGAAAGCCTCAGGAAGTTGTTTTTCATGAGTGGGTATTAAATTTTACCAAGTGCTTTTTCTGAATTTTATGTCGAGAACCATGTGCATTTTCTGTTTTAGTTTGTTAATATGGTGAATTATGTTGATTATTTTTCAAAGATTAGAACAACCTTCCCTTACTGAGATAAACCCCATTGGTCATGGTGCATTATTCTTTCTATATGTTGATAAGTTGGATTTGGTAATATTTTATTAGGAACTTTTCCAACTAGGCTCAGAAGAAAGATTGGTTGTTAATTTTCTTTTCTTGTAATAGGTTTACTTTTGGTATCAGGGTAATGCTGGACTCATAATGAGTTGAGAAGTCTGCCCTCTATTTTTGAAACTTTCTTAAGACAACTATGATATCTTCCTCAGATGTTGGATAAAATTCACCAGTGAGTGTGTCTTGAATTAGAATATTTTTTGTTGCAAGATTTTAAGATATTTCAAATATCTTTAAATTATTATTATTTTAAATCATTTCAATTATTATTTTCAATTATTTCAAATTATTATTCAAATAATATAGGGGTCTTTAGGTATTTAATTTGTTTATGCCAGTTTATGGTTTTATAAATTTTGGCTATCAAGGACTTGGTCTATTTTTTCTGAGTTCTAGAATTTATTGCAATAAATATGTTTAAAACATTCTTTTATGATTATTTTAATATGTATATAATCTATGGTGATATCTCTCTTTCACTTCTATACTGGTAATTCATGTCTTCTTTTTTATTTTTGATTCTTCTAAGATAGTTTATTATTCTACTGATCTTTTTAAAAATTTAGATTTAGATTCATTGATTTTTCACTGTTGTTTGTATTTTATTTTTAATTGGGATTTTTATAGCAAATTTATTAAGATATAATTCACATGCCATATAATAATTCACCCATTTAGAGTCTACACTCAAAGTTGTTTGTTTTGTTTAGTATTATATATTCAGAGTTGTACAACCATCACCATAATGAATTTGAGAACATTTTCATAACCCCAAAAAGAAATCTATCCAGTCGCTCTTCATTTTCCCAGCATACCCTTCCCCAGCCCTAGGCAACCATTAAACTACTTTCTATCTTTATAAATTTGCCTATTTTGGATATTGCATATAAATGGAGTCATCTAATTTGTGGTTCTTTTGTGACTGGTTTCTTTCACTTAGCATGTTTTCAAGGTTCACTTATACTGTAGCATGTATCTGTTTATTTTTATTGTTGAATAATATTCTGTTGTATGGCTACATCACACTTTGATTATCCATTCATGAATTGATAGACATTTGGATTGTTTGCATTGTTTGGCTATCATGAACAGTGGTGGTATGTTATTTGTGTACAGGTTTTATATGGACATTTGTTTTCATTTTGCCTAGTATATATTCCTAGTAGTGGAATTGCTGGGCCAAATGTTAACTCTGTGTTTAATCTTTAGAGGACATACCAGTGTGTTTTCCAAAGTAGCTGCATCATATTATATTCCCATCAGCAGCTTGTGAGGGTTTATATTTCTTCACATCCTTACCAATTCTTGTCATTATCTTTCTTTTGATCATAACCATTCTAGTGAAGGGCAGTGCCAAAGAATGTTCAAACTACTGCACAGTTGTGCTCATTTCACATGCTAGCAAGGTTATGCTCAAAATCCTTCAAGCTAGGCTTCAACAGTACATAAACCAAGAACTTCCAGATGTTCAAGCTGGATTTGGAAAAGGCAGATGAACCAGAGATCAAATTGCCAGCATCAGTTGGATCCTAGAAAAAGCAAGATAATTCCATAAAAACTACTTCTGCTCAGTTGACTACACTAAAGCCTTTGACTGTAAATCAAAACAAACTGGAAAATTCTTAAAGAGATGGGACTACCAGATCACCTTACCTGCCTTCCGTGAAGCCTGTGTGCAGGTCAAGAAGCAACAGTTAAAACCAGACATGGAAAAACGGATTGGTTCCAAATTGGGAAAGAAGTACATCAAGGCTGTATATTGTCACCCTGATTATTTAACTTATATGCTGAGTACATCATGCAAAATGCCAGGCTGGATGAATCAAAGGCTGGAATCAAGATTGCCAGGAGAAATATCAACAACCTCAGGTGTGCAGATAACACCATCCTTATGGCAGAAAGCAAAGAGGAACTAAAGAATCTACTAATGAATATGAAAGAGGAGAGTGAAAAACTAGCTTACAAGTCAACATTCAGAAAACTAAGATCATGGCATCTAGTCCAATCACTTAGTGGCAATACATGGGGAAAAAGTGGAAGCAGTGACATATTTCATTTTCTTGGGCTATAAAATCACTGCAGACAGTGACTAAAGTCAAGAAATTAAAAGATGCTATGGCCCCATGTGGCCTCGCCAAAAAAAAAAAAAAGGATTCCTGCTCCTTGGAGGAAAAGCTGTGACAAACCTAGAGAGTATATTAAAAAGCAGAGACAACACTTTGCCAACAAAAGTCCATATAGTCAGTGCTATGGTTTTTCCAGTAGTCATGTACGGGTGTGAGTGTTCGACCATAAGTAAGACTGTGTGCTGAAGAATTGATACTTTCAAACTGTGATGCTAAAGAAGATTCTTGAGAGCCCTTTGGACAGCAAGGTGGTCAAACCAGTCAATCCTAAAGGAAATCAGTCCTGAATATTCACTGAAAGGACTGATGCTGAAGCTGAAGCTCCAATACATTGGCCACCTGATGCAAAGAGCCAACTTGTTGTTAAAGACCCTGATGCTGGGAAAGATTGAGGGCAGGAGGAGAAGAGAGGACAGAGGATGAGATGGTTGGTTGACATCACTGACTCAGAGGAGGTGAGTTTGAGCAAACTCTGGGATATAGTGAAGGATGTGGAAGCCTGTTGTGCTGCAGTCCGTGGGGTCACAGAGAGTTGTACATGACTTAGTGACTGAACAACAATCCTAGTGGATGTGAATCGGCATCTCACTGTGGTTTTGATCTACATTTCCATGATTGCTAAAGATGTTTCTTTTCTCTTGAGCTGGAGTTTGGTAGAATTTGTGTTGACTTTGTGGATAATTTAGGGATTATTGCTATCTTAGTAACATTTTTTCTTCAATGAACACAGTATGCCTTTCCATTTATTTAGGCCTTTGTTTTCTTCAGTGATATGTTATAGTTTTCAGCTACAAATCTTGCACTTTTGTTAAATTTATTCATAAATATTTTATTCTTTTTGATATTATTGTAAATGGAGTTATTTTCTCAATTTCATTTTTGGAGGGTTCATAGGTATTGTATAGACCTACAGTTTTGGGTACTACTCTTCTATCCAGCAACCTTGCATTGTTGAACCTGATTATTACTCTTAGTTTTCCCTGATAGCTCAGTTGGTAAAGAATCTGCCTGCAGTGCAGGAAACCCCGGTTCAATTCCTGGGTCAGGAAGAGCCCCTGGAGAAGGGATAGACTACCCACCCAGTATTCTTGGGCTTTCCTTGTGGCTTACCTGGTAAAGAATCCACCTGCAGTGTGGGAGACCTGGGTTCCATCCCTGGGTTGGGAAGATCCCCTGGAGAAGGGAAAGGTTACCCACTCCAGTATTCTGGCCTAGAAAATTCCATGGACTGTATAGTACATGGGGTCGCAAAGAGTCAGATACGACTGAGCAACTTTCACTTTCACTTTTACGTGTGTGTGTGTGTGTGTGTGTGTATTCCTTAGGATTTTCTGTATTCAGGGTTATGTCATCTGTGAATAGACATAGTTTTGATTCTTTTTTTTTTCCAATATGGATGCCTTTTATTTCATTCCCGCCCCACCCCCACCCCTCCCGCCACCTCTCTGGCTGGAAACTCCAATGCAGTGTTGAATAAAAATGTCAAGAAAGGACATCCTTGCCTTGTTTCTGATATTATGAGGAAAATGATCAAATTTTCATCCTTAGGTTTGATTGTTGTTGTTATAGTCACCAAGTTGTGTTCAACCTTTTTGAGACTCTTATGAACTACAGCCCGCCAAGTTCTTCTGTCCATGGGATTTTCCAGGCAAGAATACTGATGTGGGCTGCCATTTCCTTCTCCAGGGTATCTGCCCAACCCAGGGATCGATCCTGTTTCTCCTTCATTGGCAAGGAGTTTCTTTACTACTGAGCTACAAGGGAAGCCCATAAGTTTGATTAGCTGAAGCTTTTTGTAGATGCTGTTTGTCGTATTGAGGAAGTTTCCTTCTGTTCTTAGTTTGTTGAGTATTTTTATCATGAAATGTTGAATTTTTCTTAATGTTTTGCAGCTATTGGGATGATTCTGTTGGAATTGTCCTTTATTCTATTGACATAACCTATTAATTGATGTTTGGATGTTAAATCATTCTTGCATTTTTTAGATAATCCCTGCTTGGTTGTGTTGTATAATACTTTTTGTATATTGCTGGTTTCAGTTTGCTAGTATTGTGTTGAGCAGTTTTGCTTGTATATTCATATAAAATTGCTTTATGGTTTTCTTTTTTCGTGAAATTCTTTGTGTGGTTTTGGTACTGAGGTAATACTGTCCTCATAGGAAGAGCTGGGAAATGTTCACTCTTCTGTCTTTTGATAGTTTGTAAAGAGTTGTTATTATGAAAAACTATGTTTGAATTAACTAGTGAAGCTGTCTGGGTCTCAACTTTTCTTCTGAATAATTTTTTTAAAATTTCTAATTTAATATCTTTACTTTTTCTAGACCTATTTGGATTTTATTTTTCTTCTTAAGGTAGTTTTAGTAGTTTGTGCCCTTCTAGGAGTTTGTCCATTTCCTTCAGTTACCTAATTTGTTTCCATACATTTATTCATAGCACTTCCTTGTTATCCTTTCCTGTATGGTCAGAAGTAATGTCTTCTTTCATTCCTGACTGTAATAATTTGAGTCTTCTCTTTTCTTTGCTTGAAGAGTCTAGTTTAATGTGTGCCAACTTTATCAATTTTTTCAAATAACCAGGATTTACTTTTATTAGTTGTCTCTATTGTTTTTCTATTTTCTATTTGATATATTACTACTCTGATCTATTATTTCCCTCTTTTTGTTTGCTTTAGATTTAATTTGTTCTTCTTTTTATATTGTCTTAAGATGGAAATTAGATAATTCACTTAAAATCCTTTTTCTTTTTTAATGTAGACATTTAAAACTATAAAAATTTGCTTTAGATATGTTCCATAAGTTTTTGTATGCTGTGTTTTCATTCATTCATCTCAAAGTGTTTTCCAATTTTCATTGTGATTTCTTCTCTGACCCATTGGTTATTTAGTTATGTGTTATTTAATGTCTACACCTTTAATTTCCCATGTTTGCTTGTTATTAATTTATAACCACTCAATTGTGGTAGTTGGAGAACATACTTGATAAAATTTCAATCTTTTAAAATTTATTATGGTTTGTTTTATGGCCTAGCATGTGGTCTATCCTAGAGAATGTTCTGTGTGCACCTGAGAAGAATATGTATTTTCCTGTTGAGTAGAGAGTTCTATAAAAGTCTTTTAGTTCTAGTTGGTTAAAGTTGTTAAAGTGTGCTACATTTTTATTAGGTAGTATCTTTCTTTGCTGCCTTTTCTCCTTGCCCCCACTCCCCCTTTCTCTCCTTTTTTTTTTGTGTGTGTGTATGTATGTATGTGTGTATGTGTGTGTGAATGACATATTATTCATTATTTTTCTAAGCCCATTTTCCTCCTGGGTCCTGCATTTTTTTGTTGAGGGGACTTTTATAGCTATATGATTTTTAGGAATGTTTGGGCTGAGTTATAGAAGAACTGACTGTATGCTTAAAATGGTTTTTTTTAAAGTTTTTAAAATATAAATTATACTACATTAAAGTTGGTTTTAAAAGAAATTAATAATTCTGGGTAAAAGTTATTTAAGATTATAAATTGTAGTTTCTTAGAGTAACAAATTATTGTATTGAACAGAATGATTTTGAAACCTTACTCCCTTAAAAGAGATTTTTAAAAATCTATCACACCCTTTTCTAATGGATATTTAAATCTATTTTTTACTTCCCCTGAACTTATATAAATCCAATTTTTCCCTACAAAGTTTGGATTTTTCTTTCTTTTAAATTGTTTTGTAAAATGCTTCTGCCTTTATTGTTATTATTTAAAGTTTTAAAAAGTTACTGATGACTGGAAATATCTGACCTTAAGATTCTAGCTGTCAACCATGTCAGGTTAAGAGAGAATATTTACATCAGTTGTCCTTTATTCTAAAATACAATGTTTTCCTTATGTTCATTTAAAAAGAAAGGGTTGATTTCAACTCTTACTCTTCTCCCAATATCGCCTGTGAAGTAGAAAGCAATTTTGCATAGATTAAAAGCCTAAATTTACCCTTAAAAAAAAGCAGGTGGACTTGTCAAGTCATCTCAATGGACTCATTCAGAATTCAAAGGAACAATAAATCAGAGCCTTCATTATATGTCTTTAGCTTGGGGAAAAAAATCCTTTTATAAGAGAAAGCTAATCATTTAACAAATATGCGTTCCCATGGGAAAATGTTTGAGTATACTAATGATAACCCTCAACATTCTAAAAGAATAAAATACAACACCACAAAACCCTTTGAGCACTTACTAAAAGTAAGGTATGGTGTGAGTTTGGTTTAGCAATAGTTTATAATGTTGAAGGCATGTTTTGAGACTTATATCCAAATTTTAATATTAAGGTCAATACATATCATTGGACTTCTTTCTTGTTGTGGGAACTGAAGTGGTAGAGGTGAATGAATAATGCTGTCATTGTTTTTCCAAATGTTTATTTTAATAGATCTGTCTCAGGTGGTTAATTCTAGTTGATACTAATAAACTTCTTTTGATTTGGTTTGAAATAATGATACATAGAAAAATGAATGAATGTTCTCTAAAAATACATCTTACAAATGTAAAATGTCAATTTTTAACTTAAACATATGATCTGGCTGTAAATTAGGTTATATCGGATGGTGTTCCTTCTTTATAGTGCTTACGACAATGTTGTTTGTGTGTTCATTTCTTTAGTCTTTGTGTCCCACATCTAACTCCCATGTATATGTTTTTTACCACTATATGGCCAGTACCTTGAGGGCAAGAGGAGAAGGGGGCGGCTGAGATTGAGATTGTTGGATAGCATCACTGACTTAATGGACATGAGTTTGAACAAACTCCAGGAGATAGTGAAGGACAGGGAAGTGCTGCAGTTCATGGGGTTGCAAAGGTCAGACATGACTTAGTGACTGAACAACAACAATCCAGTACCTAGAACCATGCCTGGCGTGTAGTATATACTCTAAAAAATTGTCGAATGGTCAAATAAATAAAATGTCGAGACCTGCCTTGAAGTCCAATCTTAATTCTCACTTAAGAAATAAGTTAAAAAAAAAAAAAGTTAAAAATAAATAAATAAATTTTTTTAAAGTTAAAAAAAAAAAAGAAGTTGAGCAAGTTACACTCTTGTCTTCCTTTTCCCCTTCAGTAGTTTAGTGATAACAATACCTTACATATAATACATTGTGTGTTTATAATATTAAAAACATTTTCACAACATTTACTGAATGATTACTGTGTACCAGGTGCACTTTTAGGTTTTAAGGATACAGCAGTAAACCAAAAAGGACAAAAGTCTGAACCTCCATTGAGCTTCTGTTCTAATGAAATCTGCTGTTTTGTTTGGGTCCTCACAACAACCCTGTGAGGTGAGTAGGACTGATACTATTAACTTACTAATGCGGAAATAGAGACTTGAGGTTAAGTGGTTGCTCCAGATCAATACCAGACCATGTGTATGTATGTGAGAGTTGGACCATAAAGAAGGCTGAGCAGTGAAGAATTAGTGCTTTTGAACTGTGGCATTGTAGAAGACTTTTGAGAGTCCCTTGAACTGCAAGGAGATCCAACCAGTCAATTCTAAAGAAAGTCAAGCCTGAATATTCATTGAAAGGACTGATGCTGAAGCTCTAATACTGTGGCCACCTGATGCGAAGAGATGACTCACTGGGAAAGATCGAAGGCAGGAGAAGGGGCGACAGAGGATAAGATGGTTAGGTGGCATCATCGACTCAATGGACATGCATTTGAGCAAACTTCTGGGAGGTAGTGAAGGACAGGGAAGCCTGGCATGCTGCAGCCCATGGGGTCACAAAGAGTTGGACATGGCTGAGCAACTGAACAACAATCAGATCAATCAGCTAGTGAGTCCAAGAACCATCTATTTTATATCCAGTGCTTTGTCTTCCTCCCCTAACTCCTCATTTATCAGGTAGGAACTTTTTTGAGGAAAAGTAAGATCCAATTTATACATCTTCTAAATATACCACATAAATACAAAGTGATGGCATGATTCAGGCTTTAAAGTGGCTTTAAAAATTATGGCATTTCAAGATACCTTAAATCCAAAGGAAATTTAAAATTTTGGCCTGATCTCCTTTCTTTGGCTATGGCTTGTTATTTATGTAGCACCTGACTCTCATACCTAGACCCTTGGCTGTAGGAGCTGGGACTTCCTGCTGTTAAATGTTCTAATACTGTACATTAGTATGGAAATCTAGACAGTGCCCATAGTGGATAACATATGAGTTGCTGAGCAAGGGAAATTATTATGCCATCTGCTGCCTCTTAGAAAGTGTGTTACTACCCAACTCATTTTCCGAATCAACATACCAAAGGCACCATAAGTAATGTAAATGATAGTGGCTTGCACATTTTTTAAGTAAAGCAGTTTATAAGAAAAAAACTTTTGTGCCTCTTCTCAGTTTTAATGGATGCCATGGAAAATTATTTTTGTCCTTCAAACTGTTTTAATGGGATAGTCTTTTATTAGACCATCAGTTCAGTTCAGTTCAGTCGCTCAGTCATGTCCGACTCTTTGAGACCCCATGAATCGCAGCACGCCAGGCCTTCCTGTCCATCACCAACTCCTGGAGTTTACTCAGACTCATGTCCATCGAGTCGGTGATGCCATCCAACCATCTTATCCTCTGTCGTACCCTGCTCCTCCTGCCCCCAATCCCTCCCAGCATCAGGGTCTTTTCCAATGAGTCAACTCTTTGCATGAGATGGCCAAAGTATTGGAGTTTCAGCTTCAGCATCAGTCCTTCTAATAAATTAGACCATCAGATAGCCCATATTCAAATGAATGCAAGAATTTTTCTTTGTATTGAACTTACAGCAGTCCTTGCACTGATAGTAAGCTATTCATGGAAAATTTGGCATCTAATTTGAGCACTTTAAATTTTCAAAAGGATAAAATACCCCCAAATATGCT